ACCAGTTAATTTGAAATCCTCCAGAGGTTTCTTCCCATCAGTGGCCAACATCCATTCCTGGCTTAAATATTTCCTATAAGCATGTGAATAAATTGATAAAGATCAGAAAAACCAGGTTGATAGGCATTGATAATTAGATTGAAATACCTTTTAAATTCAAGGGAATTAATCTTAGACGTCCTTTACTAGGGATGTCCTTACTAGATCAAAAGTTCGGATTTAATCCAAGCAGCCTAAGAAATTTGGTAGTCTCCATCACCTGATTCAACCTTAAAATGAACTATTAAGAAAGGGGCAGGAAAGTCTGTTGCATTAAGAGAAGTGGGGTATCAAGAGAGTGGGGAAAAAGGGAAGTCTGGAAAGAGCAGAAAAAGGAGGAGAAAGTAGGGTGTGAGGTGGGAATGGTGGAAGAGGTGCAGAGGGTGGTTTTTTTGGAGGCTTGTTAGTAGGTCTAGCTTCAGAATCGCACGTGCAAAATTTAGAGGAAAAATTTCCCAGTTGTTCCTCTTTAACTTCAATTTCATGGATGTAAATTCCTTTTTCTAATTTATCAAGGCATTTATTCAACTTAGCATTATTCTCTTTAAGAGAGGCTATCAATAACAGCCTCTTAGTTTTGATAGAGCTCTCAAGGTACCAGTTAAAGAAAGCCTCCCATTGTCTTTGGGAGGTTCAGCACTTTCTTTGTTCCAATTGTGTGTGCAAATGAGCAAGTTCTTTTTTTTTTTTTTAATTGGGGAACAGTATGTTTTTCCAGGACCCATCAGTTCCAAGTCAAGTAGTTGTTTCAATCTAGTTGTGGAGGGCGCATCTCAGTGGCCCATGTGGGGATCGAACTGGCAACCCCGGTGTGATAAGCACTGTGCTCCAACCAACTGAGCCAACTGCCCACCCCCAAATGAGCAAGTTTTGAAATTTCAAAAGAGTCCCATTTGAGCTAGCAAAGTTTAAAATTATCCTGGGTGATATTTGTCTGAAGACCCAGCCAGTTACAACTTTCTGAGCCATAGGTCTTGTGCATAAAGTTACCAGAGGGTGGCTGGTCATTGGAAGAGAGCTTAGAACATGAACTACCCACTTGCACTCACCTAATGAAGGCATCCCTTCATCCCTTAGAGTGACCCTTCAGCATAACAATCCCCACAAAACCTATGGACAGGGTCTGAAGAATTGTATGGATTAAGTCTGAGCCTTATGGATGAAGTACAAAGAGCTGTATGGACCAAGTCCAAGTCGAACTTTGTGAGCAGTCCTTTCCCTGAAGTGAATAGAGTCTCTGAGACCGCATCAAAAATGTGGGAGGGGGCCGGCCGAGTGGCGCGATGGTTAAGAACTGGCTTGGGACGCCAGAGGGCCCTGGTACGGATCCCACATATGAGGGCCAGTGATACTGCCCTCCACAGCTAAGATGCTGAACAACAGCTCAATCTGGAGCTGGGCTACTGAGTTGCCGGCGACGGCATAGGCTGCAGCCCCTGCTGCAGTGGGTTACCGTGTGCAGCCAGCAGCCAGCATGAGCGGCTTGCAGCCGCAGTGAGCGGCTGTCCAGAAGCGGCGACTGATCTGCCTCGCCTGGGAAGAGCGCAATGATGGTGCCAACTTGGGCCAGTGCAGCAACGTCCTCCACAACTAGACTGAAGAACAAAAGGACAGCAACTTGTCTGTTCCCCTTCCCCAAATTCCCCAGCACTGTTCCCATCCCCCCAATTCCCCAATTAAAAAATAAATAAATAAATAAACAATCTTAAAAACAAAACTGCTAAAAAAAAAAATATGTGGGAGGTCTGGATCTGAGAGGCCACTCACCCTGTGCTGCCAGGAAAAAGACTGAGTGCAAAAGGCTCTTGCTGGCACTGGGGCATTGATTTTGAGATGGTGTTAGGAGAGTCAGGGTGCCACTTCAGATCCCACCGCTGCCACCAAAATGTACACAAATCCAAAAAGCATTGGAGCAAAAACCGGAGACTTTATTCAGGCAAACAGTTTGCAAACTGGGGAGAAAGCCTCTGGTAAACAACTAAAAGTGTGTTCCCCCAAGACAAAGGGGAGGCCTTTCTTTATACTGACAGTCCCCACCCCTCTCACGTTCCTAATTAGGTCCATTTATGTAAATGAAGTACCCAAATTTGCATGGTTCTGATTGGTCCTAATCATGCAGTTCTGATTGGTTGGGGAAGATCTCAGTCCATTGGTTGAAATGTGAAACTAGGAACTCCTTTATAATAGTTGACTCCGATAGCATAAACAAGGAGGGCATTCAGTCAGAGATTCTTCCTGGTATACAGAATATGCAAGAAGCCGCTGCCAGCAGATGGCCTCTAGACTCTCACTATTTGTAAAATTTGGGCCCTCAGTTGACCATGGGGAGTCCATCTCGGTAGGTAAATTCTTTCTCAGGGTTCACATCAAATGCATCTCTCTTCCTGAGGACCACTTATACCTCAATAAAGCTGTTTTAAAAATCTGTATAAACTCATATAGAAAGAAGGTCACACAAAGTGAAGAAAAGCTAGATGTACAACAGTGTGTATAAAAATAGATGTCTAAAGAGGTTATTTCTCTATGGATATTCAAGTAACAGTAAACAGGAGTTGTTTATGAGGAAGTAGCCTGGTAGATCTGGTATGGGAGGGAATTTTTCTTTGTACCCAGAGTACAGCATAATATTTTTTTTCTTAATTTATATATATATTACTTCTTCAGTTTAAAAATTAACTTAAAACTAAAAATGAAATACATATATGCACATGCATGCTTAGCAAAAAAGAATGAAGAGGCTGTAATATATCAAGAAATTGTTAGTAATTTACTTTTTATTTTTATTATTTTTTGGAATTCAATTGTTCTCTAATAAGCATGCATTGATTTTTGTTTGTAAAGTTTGAAAAATAACATGAGGCTTGTCTTGCCTTCTCATGGGGTGTTGTGAGGGTTATATTTATGTCTAAAAATTTAAGCAAGACTTCAACCTTGGGAGAGGACCCTAGGCACACAACTCCTCACCAGAGGCTTTTCTTGCACCATTTAGAAATGAGGTGAGACATCTCAACTCAGGATTGCAGAGACTCAGTGTGTATTTTTTGGGGGTGGGGGGTTAAGATTTGGGATCTACCATGTTTCATCAAATATGAGATACCGTCAAATGTTAACCTCACCGTTATTTTATGTTCCACAAAGAAAGAAAGAAAACAAAATTGTCAATTAAACTATGCCACACCTTCAATTCTACAATGAATCTGGATTTTTGAGATGTGAAATATGAAAAATGTTTATCTTGAAAACAGTGATAACAGTATTGTACCTGTACCTCTTAGGTGGGTAGACCACCTAAGCAACACCTCACGGGATGCCTTCCTTTCCCTTAAACCTTCTCCTTCCCCCCCACTCTGTCAGACTAGTCACCAAGACTGGTCTTTTCCACTCCCGATGCCACCTGCCTCATTATCTCTCACCTGGGCCACTGCACTAGCCTCCTAATCAGCCTGCTCATCTTACCCTCCAATCCATTATTCATACTGCAGCCTGAGTGATCATATCATGTCCCTGGTTACACATTTCCACTGGCTGCTTTACCCTACTAGCAGGGTGAGGTCTGTTTAACTTGGCATTTGGCTTTTCATGACCTGGTCTCTGCCTGCCGTTTTAGTCTCTTGGCACGCCCTCCAAATGAAATTACTTGTTGCTTTCCCAAAGCACCCTGTGTTTTTCAGGCCTCCAGGCCTTTGCACCAGCTGTTTTCTATGCTTGGACTACTACTCTTCCTCAAGTGTTTATTGAACATGTAGTAAGTGCCGGGGGCTGAGAATGGAGGGGTGAGCAAGGCAGGCACAAGCCCAATCTTCACAGAGGCTGGTGGAAAAGAAAAAAATAGAAACATATAATTATTAATTGTAAGCACAGCACACGGAGTGGGCATTCGTAAAGGTTTGTTGAAAATGTCAACCATGGCCTCAGAAAGTTTAGAATTCAAATTGGGCCAGGAAGGCAGTGTGAAGCGGATTAGAATCCCGGATCTACTATGACTACCAATGTGACTTTGGGGAACTGACATGCGTTGTCTCACCTCTGTGAAATGGAAAAATGCCCGCCTCATAGGATTTCTGGGAGGATTTAATATGAGATACATACAATCACATGGTTCTGCCGGACCCAAAGGCCCCTCCCCCACAGGGCACAAGGGTCCTCCCTCCTGCCGCGCGGGCAACCCACACCAGGAGGGACCTTGAGCGCCTTAGCCCGCGCGTGCGGCGAGTGCCTGAGTCCTCAGCCTCCTACACTTGGACCGCGGAGCCTAGGCTGCTAGACCGCAGGCTGCGGCGCGGGCAGCCGCCGGGGGCGTCGGACGCGGAGTGAGCGGAACAGCGCTCCGCCCCATCTCCCCACTTTGGGGGCCAGCCCCCCTCGCGAATTCCCGCCCCCGCCCTTGAATCATTGTGGGGGGGGGGAGGGCATGACCCATTCATGCCGGGAATCGGATCCAGATGTTCCCGCGGCGCGTGCAGCTGCATCCTTGCCTTTTTTGGCAAAAAACGTGCGGCTGCGAGCGGATCCCGGGCCGCCTCCGCTAATCCTTGGGAAGAGGGGGAAGGGAGCTGAGGGTCTGGGCCCAGAGTGGGTATCCGCACCGGGTGCTCTGCGGGATTTGGGAAGGGCTGTTAAGGGAGGGCGCGATTTGTGCCAGCCAGGAGGACCTTTCCGCCACCGTCGCTCCCGCTTGGCGTCTCCCCCAAACCCCCCCTTCTCCACGGGAGGAAAAAGCCTTTAGCCAGCAGGGGGGAGGCAGGCTAAGACGGAGAGGGACTGTAGAGAGGGACAGTACAGTAGCTGCAGCGGGGATCCCCTTTCTCCCAAGAGATTTCCCACTCCGTGGCCCGGCAGCTCCCCCTTCTGCCCTGCACGGAGGAGGTCTGGAAGAGCCTCAGAATCTCTCGGTCTGCTCTCGGTCTGCGAAGGAACCTCCTTCCCCCTCCACTCCCAGACGAACACACAGAGGCCTGGGCTTCCTCACAACTGCTTTATTGCAGAATCTCTAAGGGGGCGAGTCAATCCCACCCCGCTGCCCATTTCTGGGCAAAATGGAGCTGAAATGAAATGATAAAACACTCAACGAACAAGGGTGGGCAGAACCCTGTACCCTAGGACCCCTTAATCTGCTGCCCAGATAGCCCCAGCCCTGGGGACAGGGGTAGGATTGGGGTGGGAGGGTCAAGCCTGAGGATAGTCCACTTTTGAGGACTTCTCAGGCACCCATAGGAGACCTAAAGTCACTGCTGAGAAGTCTAGATTGAAGGGGGCCTGAGTCCGAGTCCAAGTTTGGAGGGCTAGGGTCTAGAGCCCTGATTTGGGGAGGGGACTTGGTCTGGCAACCCAGACTATAGGGGAGAGGGCTGAGCTCTGTGGAGTCCAGGCTTGGGAGGGGATTTGAATTAATAGAGGCTCTGTAACAACCCAGGTTTAGGGGCCCTGGGTCAAGAAGTACCAGTTTGGGGATGTTGAAGTGGGGAGACTGAATTCTGGAGCCCAGGGGGAGCCCCCATTTGGGGTGGGGCTGGGTCCCGGAGGTGGTCTGGAAAAGGAGCCTTAGTCCTTGAGCACTGGTTGGGAGGGCCTGGGCCCAGGAGCCCTGGCTCAGGGCCCTGCCTGGCTGCAGCCCTGGCACAGCACTTGGTCTCCGTCCGGCACGAAGCCTTGGCCCACCAGGGAGGTGGAGCAGCGGGCACAGGCGAAGCAGCTGTGGTGCCAGTGGCGGTCTTCAAAGGACACGTACTTGCCTCCACCGAGTCCTGGAGGGAGGCTGGAGATTAGCTCTGCAGGTCTAGAGGGCGGTCCTGGCCCTCGGCCTCACCCAATCCCAGATCCCATTCTCTTGCCTGCACCCTACCCACTTAGTTGTTGACCTTTATCCCACCTGTGATGGGGCGCTTGCAGCTGCTACACTTAGGTGCAAAGAGTTCTCCAAAACAGGCCACACAGTAGGGATCATCGTCCCGGGAGGTGAACTGCTGCCCTGCTAGGGGTGTCTGGCACCCGGTGCAGACCAGGCATTCTCGATGCCAGGGCTGGTCACGGTACGTCACGCCACCCTGTGTCAGCGTCTGTGGGGGGCAGCATCTGTCAGCAGGGGTGAGTAGGGATTCCCACCCCACAACAGGGCCTTGCTCACCCCCACCCATGTATGCTGTGGAGATCAGCGCCCCCATCCCGCTGGCCCAGCTCCCACCTTGCTGCAGCGGGCACAGCGAGGAGCAAACTTGTTCTCATAGCAGGGCACGCAGTAGTGAGCACCCTTGTCAGGCACGAAGGAACGGGAGCCCAGTGGCTGCTCACAGCCGCTGCACAGGAAGCAGTGCTCATGCCACGTCTGGCCTCCATATTCCAGCTTCCGGGACCCTATGGGGAATGGGGTCCCACTCAGAGGCTGTGTCAATCGAGCTCCTGCATGCCACCCTCTACTACTCCCAGAGGAGAGTCCCCGCTGCTCCCATAGCCTGCACAGGGTGGTGTCTATGCACATGCAGCAGGTCCCCCACAACATATATTGCACATGCTAACCTCCCCCCAACACTGGACATGCTGGCTGAGCAGGTACTGGGCCCCTATAAACTAAACAAGAGGGTTTGGCATATGTGAAGTCCTTATATGGATCAGATATGACTATCTCAGCACATACCAGGCCTCTATGTCAGAGGCCTGATGATTCAGTATATGCTAAGTCCTTATACTCCAGACACGATGGTTTAGTGCACACACACACAAAGACTCCACTTATACTAGCCAAGCAAGTCTCTGCCCACACAAAGTTCTAATGTCCTGGACATGATAGGTTCAGCACACGCTAAGCCCCTAATCATGCCACTCTCCACATATTCTAAATCCTCATATCTATTAGGCATACAGGTCACCACACATATTAAGCCCTCTGTTTATCTATATCTGCACACACTAAGTCCGAATGCACCAAGCATGACTGTCTCAGCATACTCTTAGTTCCTATATGTACCAAACGTGCAGGTTTTCATACATGCTAAGCCCCCCCATCCCTCGTGTGTCAGTCTGCCCATACATGGTAAGCCCACAGGTGTATGCCAGGCCCACCGGTCCAGCACACATTAAACTCTCAGGAATGTACCAAGCTTGTCAGTTCCTGTACGTGCTAAGTTCCCAAGAGCATACAGGCAAGACAGACCTTGCATACATGAAATTCCCAGGAACATGCTGCATGTGTGGGTCTTTCTAAGCCTCCATGTATGTATCAGGCATGCCAGTCCCTTGCACATGCAAGAACCCTACACAGATGCCAGGCATGCCAGTCCCACACACATACCCCGGGGACATACCCGGCATGACGGTCTCCCCACAGGCAGAGCACTGTGAGGAGAAGGCACTGCAGTAGCAGTCATTGCAGAGCAGCTCACTGTCCTGGCAGGTGAAGGGCTCATCAGCCAGAGAGCGCTGGCAGCGGCAGCAGCGGAAGCAGCCCTCGTGGAAGTGGCGGTCTTCGTAGAACAGCTCCTGCCGGAAGCACGGCAGGGGCACTGGCACCTTTGCCCCTCCTGCCAGCCTCCACCCAATCCCTGCCCTGTCTGGTCTGGTCCTTACCCTTGAGTCATGCCCGATCAGCTGCTGGCACTCGGCACAGGTGTTGGCGAAGGTGTTGTCATAGCAGGGCACACAGTAGGGGCCATTGTCTGTCTGGATGTATTTGCGGCCATACAGGGACTCGCTGCATTTTGCACAGTCAAAGGCCTCGCTCATGGTAGCTGTGACTGGGCCCTGTTAGGAACACAAGGTGCAGTGGGGTCACCCAGAGGGGCTGTGGCTTAGTCCTTTGCAAGAGCCCTTGACATTAAAAAAAAAAAGAGCAAGAGATCAGGCATAGAAAATGACAGGTCAGAGTAGGTGGTGATGGGGAAGGGGTGATTCTGGGAACCCAGGAGTCCTTCGTGTTTATTTCTGTATTTAATGATGGCGGTGGAATGGGGGGGGGGTGTCAGGAAAAATCAGGAAGCAGAAGTTGTTTTCTTATCAGGGCCCTGGCAGATCTGGCGGGAGGGGGGCTTTTCCTGGGTCAGTGACTCATTTCCTGCCCCAGCCTGAATTTAGCCTCCACTGTCCCTAGTGTCCCCAAAGGAGCAAAAGAGCAGGACAGAGAGCCACCCTCTCCTATCCCGTATGAACAGCAGTCCCACCCTCTCCTGACTCCCAGGAAGGGACCCTCAGGATATGGATCAAGGAACCCCTACCCAGAGGTCTGGAGTGGGAAGCTTAGAGATGGGAATGGGCTGTTCTACCCCCATCCAGGAAACAGTGGAATGTTAGAGGGATGCCGGGCGGATGAATGGTGGAGGTGGTGGAGGCGATGTCATTGAGCCTCACCTCCCAGGAGAATCAGCCCTGCAACAAGGACTTCAGAGGCTCAGCCTAGGCTTAAGCAGGAAGGAAATCCTGCAAGCTGGACCCAGCCAAGCTTCCCCAGCTGGACCCTCTGCCCTCACCCCCTGCTGGGTCTCTGGTGGCACCAGCCTGGGCTGCCTTGGCCTGCAACATCTGCAGCAGCTCAGATGGCCAGATGTCAGGTTTTGCCAGCACCAGGGGAGAGAAAAAGGGAAATGAGACGCTTGGGGAGGAAGAGGGGAACTAGAGACAGACAGTATGCAGTGTGCCTCCCTGCCATCTCCTGCTAGGGGCATCCCTCCTGGCAGCATCTGGCAAAGCCCTAGGATCTTTCCATCCCCGGGTCACACGGTTTCTCTCCTCCTGCCTCAGGGGAGACAGCCTCTCCCCAGCTTTTCTGATGTCTAAGGGTTTGGGGCAGGGGGAGTGAAGGGTGAAAGGGGGAGCCACTGAAGACATTTTCTCCCTAATCAGGCCCCCTCTCGGGTGGGGATTCAGGCAAGGGGGAGCCCTGAGAGCTGCTGCTGCAGACACCCAGCCCCCCACCAAACCTCAGACACTTTCCATTTTCTCAGGAACAAAGCATGTTTGCGGGATGAGGTCATCCACACAGCTGCCTCTGGAACAGGAGTGTGGGGAGTGGGGGGGGGGTAGGGAAGTGGGGTTCCCGGTCCCTTCTGCTGCCCCTGATTCTAGTCTCTAGCCCCAGATTCAGAGCTTCCCACCTCTAGCCTCCTCCATCATGAAGCCTGCTCTATGACTGGAATCCAGAGGTGGGTGGAGAGAAACCATCAGGACCCACAGAGAAAGGGGATGTTCTCACAGCTGCAGATGAGCCTAGGGATCACAAAGGAACCCACCAACCCATTCCCCCCACATTAGACCCAACAGCCTGTTCTGGCTCAAGTGGAAGGAAAAGCCCGCCTTCTCTCAGCCACCCCCAGGGGAATATTCTCGCCAACAAGCGTTGCTCTGGCTTGGAGTTCAGACTCCAGGCGCCAGCAGATGCCCCAATCCTGGAAGGCCTGGCTCTTCTGAAAGGATGGCTCGTGAGCTCACAGCTGCTCTTCTGTACAATGGGAGGACACTCAGTTCATACCTCAGGCCAGGGCATGAGGCCACCAGGGGCTGGGGTCTTCAGAGCAGGGACTTCTGGAGTAGGGGCTATCCTGTAGGGTGGAGTGTATCCCCCTTCTCAGTCTTCTCCCCACCACTCAGGCCTGGGTTTCCTCTGGCCCAACATCTGAGAGTTGCCTGGGCTGTCAGCCACTGGGCAGCAGGGGGCCACACAGGTGGAGTGAGTGTGGCCATGCCTCTGTCCTGGCGTGCCCTGGGCCTTTTCCTTCCTTCCTGGCTTGGCCCAAAGCATAGGCCACCTTCCCAGGCCTAGGCTAGCCTTGGGTCCGCCCCCTAGGAGGCAGTCACCATTCTGAGGCAGGGGCACCCCAAATAGGGTATGAGCATGGTTTCTTTTTCCTTCCCACAATGCCCTAGCCTGTCCAGCTGGGCTCTAGTGAGGACATAATGAAGGGCACTATCAAGGCCCACCTGTCTCTGCCCATTCCCCTCCTCCCCCTTTCCCTGGCAGGGCTGGGGGACTGAGGGAGCCAGTTTTGTGTTCCTTCATGGCTGGTAAGAGGTTGCAGGGGAGACTGCTATGTCTGCCAGATGGCTCTTAGCCCTTGCCCCCACCAACACATACACATACACACACACACACACACACACCCCTACACCTGACCCAGACACACATCTGGCACCTCTCAGTGAACCTTCTGGAGCTCAGAATAGCTGGATAAATGGCTGTGGCATGTGGCGTGTAGAGGCTCAAGCTGTGAAATATAAACCTGGGTGATCTTGGGCAAGTCACTTAAACTCTCTGCGACTATTTCCCCATCTAATACAACCTCCTACCTCCTGGGGTTGTTGTTGGGCTTAAATGTAATGATACTTAGAAAGCACCCAGCAGTTAGCTAGTAGTCAGTAAATGGAGGCTATCAATGTTTTTATTATTGGCCCCTCCCTCATACTGGGGTCAGACTGCATATTCTCAGCCAGGCCTGAGTCCAGGGAGCTGACCCAGAATTTCACCTGGATATTCTCAGTGTAGGCCTGGTGAGAGAACAAAGAGGGAACCCCTAGTTCTGCTGGGGACACCAAAGAGGCCCAGGCCATGTGGCTAGCCTGACTCCAGTCAGCATAACTTTGAGACCCCTCACACAGGTACACAGGTGCACACACGTGCATGCTGCTTTGCCGCTCACAAAGTGCATACCCACCCACCATCTCATCAGATCTCACAAAAGGCAGGCAGGATAGTGTGTCATGTCCATTTTACAGCTGAGCACAGAGGCCCGGGACAGGGTAGCGGCATGCTCAAGGTCATTCAGGTATCAGAGAACCCAGGAGCCCTTTCCTGTTTTTCCTTGCCTGGAAATGCTGCAGTGATGGTGGAGGGGGTGGTCAGCGTTTTAAGTGCAGGGGGACAGGAGATGCTGGGTGACATCAGTAACACAGGAACCCAGCTCTTCTCCCCAGCTGCCAGCCCCGAGACTGGAAGACACCCAGAAGCCTTTCCAATTAGCCGTGCCAACTACTCAACCCTTTTGCACCCCTCCACCCCCAATGTCCAGGAGAACCCTGGCCAGGCCCCACAGCTGTGTCAGGATCTGAACAGACCCCTCCTCCACCTCTCTGGAGTTGACAGGAGACTCAAGTGGAGAAACTGAACCCCCCCACACACCCAGCCCCTGCTATCAGGCACCAACCCCCCCCCCCAAACTCTCCCCTCTCCCCTCCCCTCTGTGGGGCCTGGGAGTCACAGCAATTTAGGGTAGGGGGAGGGGGTGGGAAGCAGGATCCAGCAGCTGTTCTGGGGACAGAGAGGAATAGTTCATTCACCCTGGGTCCCCCAGGGCTGAAGCAGCCTGTCCAAGATGAGTTTAAAAATAAGTTGGGGCTGTCTTGGTGTATGCGTGGGGCTCCTTCTTGATTTCAATCTTACTGTCTCAACTCCTCTCCTCATGGGGACTCAGTTGACCCAGTTTGTGTTTTCCCACATCCTTGCTTCCCAATCTTCTGGGCCTGAGCCTCTCAGGGTCTGTCTTGGAAGCTGTCAGTGCACCTCCATTAAATCTCAGTCTCTGGGTGTCTAGCTCTGTTCCACTCCCTGTGTGTCTGTGTCTCTGCACACTTCAGCATCCATCTGTAATGTTGTGGGTGTCTGTCTCTCTGACTGGCTATCTCCCAGCAGCCTACCTCGGTGGATTTCTACCTCTGAACACCCATGTCTGGTCTCTTCGTGCGTCTACGGGGAGGAATGTCTTGGTCCCCACCCCACCCCACCCCACCTCACCTCAATTTTCTACCTCTTAGTATCTATCTCTGTATGCCTGAGTGTCTCTGTCTCCAGCCTCTGAGTGGTTCTATAGGCCTCGCAGAAGCTGATTCACCACAAGGCTAAGGGAGCTTAGGCTTTTGGGACCCTCACTTGCTGAAGGCCCTGGAAAGGGCACTACGGCGTGTTCACTGGGGTCATTGTATGCTTTTTCTTAAAATGCTCCACAAAACCTGGGTCCATCCCTATGCCTCCGGTCAGTCTCTCAGTGACTCTACGCCCAAGTAGAGCCCCTGTTTCAGATAACTGCTGCCTCCTGTCTAAGCCTGTCGTTCGCGTACCGGTCTCAGTCTCGGTCTCTCGCTCCACCCGGCTTTCTGGGAGCCTCAGTTTCTCAGAACCTTCCGATCTTTCTCTCGACTCTGGCTTTTCTGTTTCAAACTTGGCCCCCTCCCTCGCCCAACTCTCACAGCAGCCCCCGCCCCGCCGAGGTACTGGTTGCAGTGCAGACCCGGGCTCAGCGCCCTCCGGAGGTCAGCGCCCTTGGCGCCCGCAGCCGAACCCAGGCGGGGGCAGGGGGCGGGTCGCCTCCGCTCCCTTCCCAGCCCGAGGGCGGGGGCCAGGGGCTGGGATCCGAGCCGGGCTCGGCAGAGAGCTCACCTCCAAGCGGGCTGCCGGAGCGGGGAGCGGCGTTCGTCGCGGGGGGGAGGGGGAGGGCGGCGGGAAGCCGGGCCCGCGTCCCTCGGCGGATCCTACCTGCTGGCCGGGCCGCGCGGAGGCCGAGCGCGCTGCAGGCGAAGCTGCCGG